TTTTCAGCATCACATGGTCTTCATATCTACCTTCAAAGCTAAAGACAATGTTTATTGACACTATTTTCCATCTGGGATTTCCTTCTTGTACAAGAAGGTGAGGCTGCATTACACAGGTTTGAGGCAAAGGAGCATAATGTTGTGACTGAAGGAACAAAGCTGATGTATAAACCATTGGACTTGACAAATTTGTTAATCTTCCTTCTTTTTTTTTTTTAAACTTTTTGATTCAAGAAACAGTTTTCCGAAGAGTTCAGGCACAAAGTCAGGTGGAAAGGATCATTGACACATATTCTCTTTGGCCCTGACTGTTTGTTCTGTTTAAAGATGCTTATGCAAAGATTGTCTGTCCAGCACTATACCACTTCTGCATCTTTAATTAAATTTTTCATGGTACTCCTTTCTATACTTTTTGGAAAGATGTAAGATTGGTCACACAAAACCAAGAAGCATAACTTTCCCTACAAAACTGTCTAGAATTTGACTAGATAATTTCTGTCGGTACAGGAGACAGAACTCTCTGTTTCATTCTATATATGAGATTTCTTTTGAATTAAAACCTTTTGAAATGCTTTATGAGTAGGATGAGTCACATAAAGTTTTCTGTGCAGATACAAGAATCATAAAGAGGAGAAGGTGCAAAAATATGCTGCTGGTAAGAGATGCAGGATATTATGTGCCATACCCATAAAAGAAGTTAATATTTGGGAATATTGTGCTATCTGATGACAGAAAACTGTATATATGGGTTGAAAATGTCCCCCATAGTCCTTACAGGCCCAGTCTTGTGACTAGGGGACTCGTAGGTTATATGTCTATTTCTGCTCACAAGTCTCTGTGCCTAGAGAAAGACGACCAGATATGCCCCAGATAACATGCGAAGCCCAGAGAATGAGAACTTCTGAGACCATGGATTCAGGAGGTTCAGCAAGGACAGTGTGCCTTCTCTAACTAGTAGGACTATAACGGTGATGCCTCTCTGGCTGTTTATTTTTGAGCTTTTACCAGTGCTTCTTTTCTGGTGGAACATTCCCAGCATTTTATCTGTACATTTTCATATGAATAATACCTGAAATGAAGCCTCACTGGCTGGCTTATACATTGTAGTTTTGTAAAGATGTTGTTTGGCTGCAGCAGATGAAGACAGCTGCTAATGAATACTACTGCTGTGCTAGGATGGACCTGAAGACAAATGCAAGGCCCAACATGCGTAAGGCATCTGGTTTTATACCTGTGGCATAAGGTAGCTTCATGCCCTTAAGAAGAAGTCACCCTCACAGCAGCAGCAGCCAAGTGCAAAGTCAGTCAACCAAATGTGGAGGGAATTGCATGTTTTAATGTCTTGTCTGACCAAGAACGTGCTTTGCAATCACAAGGAGTGCTCATGATGCTTAGGTAATTTTGCAGAGCACAAGTATACAGCTGCTTGGCTGTTAAATCTCCCATGCTTATACATGACTCTCCTGTAAAAAGGTGAGACAGACAGTGAATTACAGGGGATGATTGCAGGGTGACTAGATAAGCCTCCACAAGACATAAACCTACTTGCAATTCACATGGCTGCTCTATACATGAGCTAGTCTGCTGTAATGTATCAGCCTTACAATAAAAGGAAGCCAAATATATAAAAGTTGTTAAATATTTGCTTTGGCACATGGAACTGGTGGGTATAATGATCCAGACACACAGCCTCCTGACACACCATCAGACCACCAAAGTCAATGAAGGACACAATAAAATGTGTGTGGGTAGACCTTAGCAATCTTAAATATGCCAATTAAAAAAAAAAAAACAAAACAAAACCAAACCTCAGGATAAACAAGTGTGGGAAATTACTTCAGTTACTGTTTTGGCTGGGTGGGAAAAAGGCGGCTTTTTTTCACTAGGTGAGGGAAGGCTATTGGCACCTATGGGCACAATTAACACTTCTCAGGAGCAACAAAAATTCATCCTTACTAGGAATAAAGTCACCTTGAGAGATAACCATCAGATACTCAAAGTACCACATGAGTGACACTTTCTCGGCATCTGGTGCCTGCAAGTTACTTTTTCAAATTTGTATGAGGAAACCTTGCTGCACTATATGGCCTTTATGCAAAACCAATTGCTTCCTTCAAATGGACAGCATGTTCAAGAGCAGCATCTCTCTGTGGACCTGGGCCAGGCTGTGGAACTCCAACTCTGGGGGCCCTTGGTCACAAAGGAGACAGCCCCCACTGCCACATTTCTCCCCCCAGCCTGGGGTCCTTATCAGCAGCATGCCCCAAAGGAGTGGTGGAGGCTGCAGTGATTGCAGGGGCAAAGCTGTGGAGACCAGTTGAGCTGCTCCATTTGCTTTAGTTTTGGAGTCAACTGTGAGGAGCAAAAGATCTAACGGCTCTGGGGCCTGTGAAGCATTTGATAAATATTTCTCTTTGAGGGTTTTCTCCCTGTCCAAACGTGGCTGCATGTAGAGATGGCACATGCATAAACTTGTGGCAACAGATGTCTGTTTTGCTGGGATATGCCATGTTTGACAGAGTGGCCCATGAGTTAGCAGGAGGCTGGAGAGCAAGCATTGCTGTTTGCTTACAAACAAACCTTAGCAAAGTACCGCTAATTGCAGTGTTAGAAGGTTGGCCAGGCCTACATGGTAGCAAGGGAGAAAAATTATGCTTTCCTTTAGCTGTTATTGCAAACAACTGGAGACAGATAAAAGTGGAGACAGTTTTAACCTAAGCAAAGACTGTGACTGTGTGCTTTCCTTCGTTCCTCAGTGCTGTTTTCCTCCTCCCTAGTTATATTTTAATTTGTAGATGGGATTATGCATGGGACAACTTCTGAATGATTTTACTTTTTTCTCCCTCTTCTTCTTTTCTTTAACTAAAGGAGACGCATATTTCTTCTCAAACTCAACTCCGGTGGATGCCTTTGCTTCAGAGGTGTGCAAGGACAACAGGGTCTGTGCTCTGTTCTGCCTACTCAGGGCAACTTCCAGTGCCGTGACACAAAGACCAGATAGACATCTTTCACAACTAGCTGTCACTGAGGGTATGTTTTGTCAGAGTATGATAGATGTAAAACAGTCCTGAAGCTGTAATTTTAAGATTTTACAGTAACACAGAATGCATAAGATAGATAGAGGCAGAAAAGGAACTGATATCGCTATAACAAACCCCTTCTATCATTTCTTCTAAGTACACAGGAGAAAATTTACAGAGTGAGTGATGATTTACATTGACTAATTAGAACCAGCATGCCAAGTTCCCCATGCAATGCTTTGAAATTGTAGAAAATGTACCTTCCACCTTCTAATTAGATGCCTTGGACTGATGTTTTGGTATAGCAGGAAAATGTTGCTTTGCTAGACCTTTCAATTGCTCTAATTCTTCAAATCATACATGACTCCATCAGGGTGACTCTTGCAGGCACATAAGCTCATCTACATAAAGCGTTATTCCAGATAAGCTTTCTCTGATTAAATCTGCTGTGGATGTTATTGCAACAGAAATAGCTGTTCCGTTGTAAAACGTGTATCAGATCACTCTTTCCTTTTGTTAATTGCAATCTTTTATGGCTCTGTATGTTTTCTGTAGGGATGAAAAATAAGTATTACTTCAGATATAGTTTTACTGTACTGTATGCTTTCCACATATCTTGCTGCTTTCCTTCAAAAAGTAAAGCCTATTTGAAGCACATTACAAGCTGTATTGCCTACAGACTTCTCAGGTATTCTTTAAGGCAAGCCAAGATGTTTTCACAATGGCACTCCTGCAATTTCAACATCTGATAAATAAAGGCATGACAATTTTCCTCCAGCTGTTCTCTTTGATATTTAATTGTCCTAAACTGGTACTTCCTTTTCAAAGTCTGGGGAAACACAGGCATATGGGTACAGATGAGTTTGTGAGAAGTAACGAGAAAAGGAACTTTTCTGGCCTACTGCATTTCATGTGAAGAGTGAGAAACCTTAGTTTTTCCACTCACATCTAGGATGTGTAAAGGAACAGCCTGAATCTTTCGCAATATTTAACTTGAATATGTTTTTACACAATGACTCCCTATAAAACTCTTCTACTGAATAGTCATAGATTCAAAGGCAGCCACAATATTATGTCATTTATTGGTGATACATCTTTGTCTGCTTCTTAACTGGATTGATGTCTTGGTTTGTGGCACGAAAGAATAAAGAAATCTTAAGAATCAAATATATTGAACTTTTTAAAGTTGTTGAGGATTTTATACATCAATGACTTCTTTTAAGCACACAAAATTATAAATGCTATTGTTTCTACATGGTAGCTCCACATCCAAAGAATGAAGATATATTTTATGCTTCTCTTTGCTTTTTTTTAAATCAAACCATGTTTCGGTTGTTTTATAAACTTGCATTACAAATGCACTTACACATTCCAATTTTTTTTTATTCTACAGCCTAGAAATATATATGAACAGTATATAAATCAAGACAAGTTTCCTCTAGAAAAAGTTTCAAGAGGCTGCTCTTTGCTGTCCTTTTAAAAATAAAAGATCTCATATTTCTAGGATGTAAAATAAACCCCAAAAAGACAAATAAGTATCAGCTATGTGTTCTTAAGAAACATGCTTCCTGCCTAAGACTGTGCATATGTACAATTTAGCTATAATAAATAATAAAGTCTGAAAAGCTACACAACTTTTAGAGTTCTTCTGTATAGTAGGGTTTGAAATATATCTACCCTTAAAAACCTCCTTATCTCTTCAAATTTCAGATTGGTCATTCTACCCTACTCTTTACTTACCGTTTTGTTACATAATCCGATACAATGACAAATGGTAGATGCAAATTTTCAATTTTAAATAAAGCCAAACATAAAAGCTCTTCATAAATGAAATCAGCTTTATTTGCTAAAGTTGTACTGTGTACAAAGGAAATTACTATAATTTACAATACTTAAGTACAGAACATTGGAATTTTTTTTGCTTCCTCTGGAAGGAAAGTATCTTAGAATTAAAGAATTGTTAGAATCAGACATTGATAGTAGCAATAAAAATATAATAATAAATACTTAATATTTATATAATCTGTTATAATAATTCAAGCATTTCAGCATTAACTAGTACGTCATAATCTTCCTCCAATATGTAAGTAGAAGTCTCTTTTGTAGCTCACTGAAGAAAAAAGTATGACTCATCGTGAGGGTATTTCCCTTTGTCTATTTTCACAACTGCCAACAGCAGAGCTCCAGGAGGATGGTGAGCAGGCAAGCAAGTGCAAACACTGTTTGCTGTATTCTTAGCCCATTAGAAAATAGGCTGGTAATGTCTTCATTTTCTGATTTCAGTTCTAAAAAAAATAATATATATATATATATATATCTCAAGATAATAAAATAGTCAACGATCAAACTAGGTAAATTTTAAAACATGAGGATTTTCAACATACTTTGAAAGTCCTTTGACATCTCACAGGTACTTAAGTTAAAGGTATCAGCTGTTAAAGCCAATCAAAGAGGCTATTCTCAAGGGAGAGATGTGAATAGATGTCCCATCAATGATTGTTTGAGGAGCAACTGATAGCACTTATCAGCTCTTGCAGGCATTAATCTGAGAATAATCAAAAGTAAATACCAAGCAAAAGCAGGAGCAAGATCTTCACAAGAGGTATGTGCTCAAGCCTGCATGCAGCCTTTTAACCTTTCTTTTAAGAAGAGGAGCAAGATTTATTAGCACAAGCAGAAAGCCTCATCCACATGCACGTGAAAGCCACTGAGATCCTGGTCAGAGGATTAACAGAAAACTCTTCACTGCCACCTTTATTGAGTATGTTAAGCTGCGATCAAGGGTAGTAAGAAGTAGAGTGCTTTTACTAGTATGGCAAGGCCTGTTAGGTCTTTTTGCTCTATAATGGGAAACAACAGTGCTGATTCGAAGGTAAACACGCAAGGAGCCTGAGCATTTAACTCTTCTGAAGAGTTTAACCTGCAAGTTGGGTGCCACACATAATTAGTCAATACAAAATACTTCAAGGCAAAAGTGGTTTTGACAGTGGCTTTTTGTTGTGGTTTTGTTTGTTTGGCTTGTTTTGCTTTGGTTTAGTTTTGCGGTTGCAAAGACAGGAATGTCACCTTTCCTTTGCATTTCACTTTGAATTTGTGGGCTTATCACACACTAGGACATATCCAGGGGACTAAGAGGCTCAAGTTTTGAAATTTATATTTACTTCTGGGTTGATGGTATAACTCAGGAGTCATAACTTGATCAAACTTCTACTCAGACAGGAATCTGGTCAGGAAAAAGGAAGTGGATAGTTCCTTCAGGTGGAAATGAATCTTGAAGCTACTTAGGTCTGTCCCTGCTAACTAGTGACGTCGGCAGAACTGAAGGAAAGTATATTACAGCGTGGGATTGAGACATCACGGATGGACAAGGTCCAGCCAAGGCCAGGTTGGATGGGGCTTTGAGCAACGTGGTCTAGTGGAAAGAACTGCCCATGTCAGGGGGGTTGGAACTAGATGGTCTTTAAGGTCCCTTCCAACCCAAAACCATTCTATGAAGAGCGAGAATATTTTGCACTCAATTTACCACTGAAAAGTAATGTAATGTAAATCTACTATATGTCATCTCAAAGTATTGAACATAGTCTAGATCTCAGTAGCCTGTTTTCAACGGAAAAGCACCTGCAAAGCAATATTTAAGTTACTATACTAGCTGATACTGTGTTTTCAAAAGTACTCATACTTTTATAAAGGAATTTTCGCAAGCTGATGTATAAAGACTTAATAGGCTTTTGAGGAGATTGGGTATTACTGTTTTACATTGATATGGATTATGGCTACACATTTTCTGTGAAGTGTGCTCAGTCTTAGAACTCTGTATAAGATTTTGAAGATTAAGACAAAGATCTTTATTCAAGCTCAGGCTAGTTTTCTGACATTTATGTGTTAAATAGCTTATGCAAGCACATGCAAATTTTCAGTACTTGTTTCTCTAGTGTGACACTGTTTTCTACTTCTACCACACCAGCTTACACTGCTGTTCTTTCTCTTTTCTCTTTCATCTAAGAAACTTTTTTGTGTGTTTAGATGTAATTTAATTGTACAAATTCTCCTGGTTTAGTGGGAAGTCTCAGACATTTTTAGGTTTTGCAGAACAGAGAAAGTATTCATCTCTGTAATTTTCATTTAAAATTGGAGGAGTTTCGTACTGCACAATTATAAAGATCAGATCTTGAAGTGTTTCTGTGATTTTCTATACAGGCAAAACCAGTATAATTTACTGTCTTACTGATGGATTCTCCAAAACAAAGCAGACCACAGCAGAAATCTAAATAGAGCACATACAGCATCCTCTGAGTATCCCACCTTTCTAGATCTGCTATCCACAGGATAAAAATGGTTGGTTTAATGTTGTTTCTTACCACAGTTACCGTGCATTATTTCTGAGAGACAGTTCAGAGTACCATATCCGCACCGACACAGCCAACAGCCCTTCAGCACCCAGGTGCCATGGGCAATGCTGCCACAGTTGCTGTCAAGAATAAGGGAGACATTTGGTATATCCCTGATCCCTCCACAGAAAATAGCCATTCAGAGCAGCTCTCTCACTCTTTCTAGTTTTGGTCTGTTTTTTACCTTTGCCGCTCATCGTGTTCACAGTATCTGCCAGTGAAATGCTTTTGGCAGGCACAGAAAGCCCCTAGGATACAGGTCCCTCCGTTTTGGCAGCAATGTCTATTCAGTTTTTTACCTGCAAGACAAAATTACAGAGCCTACCAAGCATCCTGGGGATTCCGAACCTCCCCTTTTCGTCACTTGGTCTCTCTCAGGTCTCTCCAGCTGCCAAAGGATCTTAAGGATATGTAGTTTTATTGTCTTTAGAGACAATAAAATTATCTGCCTGTTAGGAGTGTTTGTTCAGTTAAACCCAGTTTGTTTAGTTAAGGATTAGAAGCAAACTACTAGGGATTACAGGATGGTCAAGAAGCAATGCCTGGCAAGTCCTGTAGTAGCAGCAACATATACTGAAGCTAAATATTTCACTTTGACAGAGGCAGGTTTCAGTCACTGTAACAAAAGGGACATTGTCACAGGGAAGTGGTGCTTATGTTTGAAGAAAAGCAGCTTTGTTATTGGAAGAGTTGCTCAGTTTTGAGAGAGGAAAGCTTCCTTATGCCTTTCTCAGACTTCTGGAATTGAGTACCAAGCTAGAACTTGATATATGTGGAAGGAAACAAGTCTGTTCTTGTTTCTTTTCTTTTAGTACTGTTGCTTTCTGACAGCTCAATTTTTTTTTTATTTTTATTTTTTAAAATTAAACTCTTTTTGGTCATGAAATACGGTGAATTTTAAAAAATGGACATAATTTTACAAACACCTTTGCGAATCCAAGGGACCAACCCTTTCTTAATTCCTAATAATTTTTCCTCTTTTCCATTACCACATTTTCTAGGTAAGAGATCCCAGTTCTACCTAAAATTGTTATCATCATTTTCTAAGTGGCTACAGGAATGATTTAAATGAGCAGCCACAGAAAACCAAAGGGCTGGAATCTTCCCGGACAACAGTCAAGGCATTACTGCTATAAAGTATTTTAATAAGCCATTCTGTGGCGTTATTTAAAGAAATAATGTTACCTACTCTCTGTAATCCCAGTAAAAGGTACCACTGCCAGGGAATTTTGCTCCTTTCTGCTCTCATAACTCTGATTCATGTCACTGAAAGAATTTATAGTAGTCCCTTCGTTCTTGGGCTGCTGCTTTTCTGCTGTGGCATTGAGACTTTTCACATTTTCTTCAAGTTCTTCTTTTTCACAGCCTTGAAAAGGAGTATAAGATATGGAAAAGTAGCTTGTAAGGAAGCAATGCATACTGTAAATGTACACAGGGAGGGGTGGGGAAAACATGAAGTTTTCCTTACCTTTTCCCAAATGGACAGCCTGCCAGACCAGAGTCACAGTGAAAAGAATTCTACAAAAACAAAACAAATCAAACAAAAACAAACAAACAAACAAACAAAAACAACAAAAACCCAAAACCAAATAGCTGAAATAAATTTGTGCTAATAAGGCACAAACACCAAAACGAAGCTTGGGTGAGCAGGGCTGGGTGGGAGAAGATTTTTCAAAGCTTTATCAACCATTGATAATATAGACTATACATATTTCATGCCATCAGTAATTCTGCAATTCAAGTTAACATATTAAAAATACCTAAACTTGAAAAGGTGGCTGGGAGGGGATTGGGAGTGTGAGAGAGGGGAGACGGACGGGCAGAGAACACGATCATACAGCTTAATCTTACTTCGAGAAAGCTACAGATTCCATACATTTGCTGGTTGACAAGCAGTCAAAAATGTCTCTTTATGTACGTTTCTTTAACACAATACGTTCCCAGCAGTTACAAAAAAGCAGCAAAGGCAAGAGGAAACCAATTCACCCGCAGTTCCAGGTACATTTGTTCCTTTGAGCTTCCTACCCTGATTATCAGCAAAAAAAAGCACTGCTAAAGGGAAAAACAGCCTTGGCTAGAGAAGGTCCCTGGCAGCTCAGGCAGCCTTACCTAACATGATTTCCCCAGTACATCTTTCTTCAGCCTGAAACACCCGTTAAAGATCCTCCAGGAAAGCTTGAGAAGTAAGAGGTCCAAAGCCCCTCACTGAAGGCTGTTGCATGCAGCAGTCCTCACACCATGCACGGCAACGAGAAGGAGCGTGGATGAAATTTTTCTCTTTCTTTCCAGTTTACAACAACGTCGAAGAGACATAGTTTCCAGTTGCACAGTTTGCTGAGCCCTCACTGGCCGACAGGGACCATCTTTCCGACCTGGGACTCCCTGGCCGGCTCCCGATTTACATGCATGGCTGAAGGGTGGAGCAAAGCGGGGGGTCGTACTGCTGGCGGGGGACACTTAAGGGCCCATGACCACAAAAAAGCCCAAGCCAGAAAGATTTTAACTCCATTTCTTAACATAAAAAAAACCTTGTTATCATCACTTACAGGGTGGGAAAGAAAATACTGCTCTGCAGAACTGCAAAAGGTATATAATAAACTGCAGCAGGTATATAACAAAGGTTAAAACCCTTCAACCCTACTTATATGCTTTGTTTCTGCTAAGATTTTCCACAGGGGTCTCTACTTTATGAAGTTGTGCCACTTTGCAGCACCGACACTCCTTAGAGCCTGCATTAGAGATTTCTACCAAAAGTATTACAGAAAGCAGCATAAGGTTCTTGACAGAAGATTGTTGTCTCTCAAGAGCTGTTAATAGTCCTGAAATTCCTTTTGAGACTTATTTACTATTATTAAGATCAGACCCATTAGTGAAGCATTCCTAGCCTGAGCCCATGCAATATCAGCAGATAGCTAGATTTAATTTACCACCTATGCTGGAATGGCCTAGAGCAACTCACAACTTTACTTTGGCTCAGCAACATCAGCAAAAATTGATAAAAAAGCAGCTCTGGGCAGTCTTTTTTCAAATGGCTCTACCTGTACCTGGGGGTCCACATTGCCTCTACCTAAGCTGCAACAGGAAACTGCAGCAATACAGCTTTGTTTTGTTTTGTTTGGGTGGGGGGAGCATGCGGAAGAGTCATGCTTTCACTATGCTAGTGCAAAGCAAGCTAGTACAAGTTGCATCTTGGCTAGATATACGATCACATCAGACATATGGGTCAGATCTTCACTAAAGAAATGGCTCTACTGGCTAAAGACATTGTCATCTGTTGTTTGTAACTCTGTGGCTGACAGTTGTCAGCTTTGTCCCATCTAAACTAACGGTTTGGAATCTACGATCCCTGTTATCCAATCTGGATAGCTTAATTTACAGAATACTGTCCAAATTAATTCAACCTGCTTGACACTGAGGCAGATGGAAAGTGTTCTGAGGACATGTTCTTTCATGTCTCGTGTGTGGACATTGATCTCTAACAAAAGCATAGAAGTTTATGGCTGGAGATTTGAAACGGCTCTTTCTGTTGCAGGTAATGTTTGCAGGGAGTGCTCTGCTGGACTACATCAGTCCTAGTGGATAAGGCATTCCCAGTGCTGCTACAGCTATTGACTACAATTGATCTATCTATCTCAGATGTTTTCTTGTAGATGTAGACTAACTCCTTTAGCTTCATGATAATTTGTTTCATGTTTGTTACTTATTTAAACTGATTTAGATTAATCTATACTTGTTCCAGAAGTGTACTGAAGAACCTTGGTTTTTGGAACTGAGAGTCTGTCATCTACGTTTGTATGAAAGTCAGCTAAATTAACACTAGAAGAACTTATACACTAATACTTGTAGGTAAAGTCTTTAGTAGAAAGAACGTTACAATAAAAATCACAACATCTTAATCCAGGAAGAGATTTTGTTTTTCATATTTTAAAAAGCAACGATTTTGAAGAGGCAGATTGCTTTCTGCTATCTGCTTCTACCTGCTGTGATTCACAAGAACTTGTAAGCTAAGGTTTAGGTAGTTGCTTAAAACCTATCATATGTGTTCAGTACTGTTGTGACAATAGATGATATTCTGAATTAGAATTGTAAATTGTTTCACAAAAATGAAAGAGATGTCATTTTTGCATATATTTACAAAACATGTATGTTTGTTTAATCAACATATGAAAATGTTTACTTGTAGAACATACAATTCTAACTGCTCTTGCTTTCAGTAGCTGCATAACAGGGTTGGTATTTTGAATTTGAAAAGAACAGCTGCAGTTACATTTATTTGCTGTTTTTTGTTATTATATTAGGAAAAAAAATCAATTTGGCTTGAAGTTACAACATTCAGATGCTGAAATGCTGCCATTTAGCATCTTGTCAGTTTTCCCCCTTCTACAGATTGAAGGCAGAAAAAATAAACAGAAAAGTTGACGCAGGAACATCATACTTACTGGGTTTTTTACTAAATACAGTGTCAGTATAGTTCTTCTGAAGAGCTTTCCCGGGTATCAGACTCCCAGCCCTACACTGGAGCTAACTTTCAAAATGGGAATGCTGGTAAAGAAATACTGATCAATTTTCACTCCCTATGCCATTTGTTTAAGATCAGAAGTCATCCCTGTAGCTGCAAGAGCTAACAATCTGGGGAACTGTAAAGCAGTTGGTAAACATTTCTCACTGTAATACCTTATTTCTTCCTTCCTTCTCCCTACAGCCTCGCCAGCAAGGCACACATAGAAATGGGGACAACATAAATTGCTCAAATGCTGCGGTTGCCTGACTGCCCTATAGAGGTGAGATTGGTGTGACACTGTGGAAAAGCTCTGCTGTTTGTTGTTGATAGAATCTGCCAGAAAGTGATTGCTTCTGCCTAGGGATTTGCAAGGGGCTGCAGTAGAGGTAGAACTCCCTTTATCAGCTTCAAGTAAGATAAGAGTGGAGCCAACCAAGGAGCTGCTCCTGAGCATTTCAGTCAAACCCTTTGTACGCAGGAGATGGTTAACCATTAGTTAAGGGCCTTCACTGCTGTTAGTTCTGACAGCAGGTCAAGGAGCCTATATGGATAAGGGTGGCAGGAAAACATTGTGTTACTTTATTAGTCCACATAATTCCTCTTGTGCTTATCCAGGCCACTGTAAGTCTGTAGTCTACATCTTATGGCACCTTTTCCCAATGTGCAAGTTGACTGCTACATTGAAAAGTGAAGTGTGGATAATATGAGCTGTTTTGGGAATATTAGTGTTCCATACCAACTGTATTCCTGTGTAGATACTCAGTATTTCTAAAAGATTCAGAATCAATTGGTGCCTAAGGACCAGAGGTAGCGATGAAAAAAGAAAGAAACAACCAAAACTGGATGGATAGCCGCACGGAAAGAGTTGTCGTCAATGGCTCAATGTCCAACTGGAGACCAGTAACGAGTGGTGTCCCTCAGGGATCGGTGTTGGGACCAGTCTTGTTTAACATCTTTGTCGCTGACAAGGACAGTGGGATTGAGTGCGCCCTCAGCAAGTTTGCAGATGACACCAAGCTGTATGGTTTGGTTGATACCCTGGAGGGAAGGAATGCCATCCAGAGGGACCTTGACATGCTTGTGAGGTGGGCTGATGCCAACCTCATGAGGTTTAACCATGCCAAGTGCAAGCAAGGTCCTACACCTGGGTGGGAGCAATCCCAGGCACAGCTACAGGTTGTGCAGAAGGGAGATTCAGAGCAGCCCTGCGGAGAAGGACTTGGGGGTGTTGGTTGATGAGAAAATGAACATGAGCTGGCTTCAGTGTGCGCTCGCAGCCCAGAAAGCCAACTGTATCCTGGGCTGCATTAAAAGGAACGTGACCAGCAGGTCGAAGGAGGTGATCCTGCCCCTCTACTCTGCTCTCGTGAGACCTCACCTGGAGTATTGAGTGCAGTTTTGGTGTTCTCAACATAAAAAGGACATGGAACTGTTGGAACAAATCCAGAGAAGGGCCATGAGGATGATCAGGGGACTGGAGCACCTCCCATATGAAGACAGGCTGAGGAAGTTGGGGCTGTTCAGCCTGGAGAAGAGAAGGCTGCATGGAGACCTCCTAGCAGCCTTCCAGTATCTGAAGGGGGCCTATAGGGATGCTGGGGAAGGACTCTTCATTAGAGACTGTAGTGATAGGACAAGGGGTAACGGGTTAAAACTTAAACAGGGGAAGTTTAGGTTGGATATAAGAAGGAAATTCTTTCCTGTTAGGGTGGTGAAGCACTGGAATAGGTTGCCCAGGGAGGTTGTGAATGCTCCATCCGTGGCAGTGCTCAAGACCAGGTTGGAAGAGGCCTTGGGTGATACGATTTAGCGTAAGGTGTTCCTGCCCACGGCAGGGGGGTTGGAACTAGATGATCTTAAGGTCCTTTCCAACCCTAACGATTCTATGATTCTATGATTCTAAAAAACAAAGATGAGGAAAATGTGAGTGTCACTGGCTTCCTGGGGGCTGTGTTGAAAAATCTGAGCAGGGGTTATTCAGTGGCCAGTGACTAGGAAGCTTTAGGTTCCCAAATTACAGTTTACGGTAGGGCCAGATCTTTAATCAGATTTAGCAAAGTTAAATCAGTTTTACAGGATATTGTGGAAAACAGTGGAAAGCAATCACACCACAGCTACCACCCCAAGACATTTGTTGAAGTCCTGGGAATAGAGATTTTAGTGAAGCAAAACTGTCAGGCTTGGTGACTTACTGTCCTCTCAGGACAGGGCAGGCCCCAGGCACTCTAGGCTGGGAGCTCTCAATGTGTTTAACAAAATAAATGGTAAGGATCGTGAATGGACAGAGCTAATACTAGCCATCCTGAGATTTTTATTTTTATTTATTGTTTTTTGCTGGCTACAACTGCTACTAGGCCTTCTGACAGCTACCCAGGCACTTTTGTTGTCTACGGGCTATGTAAAACTTAAATGCAGTCAGACTGAGTGATTTTCATGGTGTCACAGGACCTTCTCTACAGGTGCTGGTCAGACCAACTTTTATTACTGTCAGGAATTTTCTGTATGATTGTGCAGTGGTTGCTTTTGTTGCCTTTTCATCTCAGTGTATGTATGAAGGGGAGATCATACACAGGCACAAGAGCTTACACTGTTTCAAATGAGCAGTATAAATGCCAGGAGCAGCTTTTTTTATTATTCCAGGTTGAGTGGTTTACATTCATTTATTTGGAATCTGCCACTAATTGACTCAAGGAAGTAAGAAGAAGGAAAATAAGATAATCCAGAGTGGCTCAAGTTTAACTAATGCCACAGGTCCATGATCAACTTAAGCAGGATAAATGGCTGCTGCTGTTAAAAGGACGAGTCCTCCTCTGTCTTACACCATGTGCTATATGTTCATACTGCCACCCTTACACTGCTGTTATTGTTTGTGCAGC